ACCAGAGTCGTCACCGTCAGAACTTAATTTAAACTTTATCCGCGTTATAGGAACAGCTCAATCGTTGTTCCAGTTAATAATGCCGTCAGAGACTAAGAATGTGTGATTCAGGGCGTAATTAATAGCCTTAAATATGCGTTGTTCGTATATTGTTTGTAACTTTCGAAATGGATTGAAGATATTGGTGAAAAATTCGTGTTAAATCGGTCCCTTGATACCACAAGATGGCGCCTCCACGGGGTCCGGGTGGGGTAGAAGGAAAACTGCGATTATACTGAATAAGCATTTGCGGTCAGCCGACAAAGGGTGGTCCTCTAGTGCCAGAGACGAAATTAAGAAATTTTTACGCTACTGTATGTCTACTCATTCTAAAATCTTTTTGACACTGATGTGTGTACCGAATCTCAAAAGATATTAACTTTTCTGTACCCCCTTAACAACCCAGAACCCAAGCATGAGTCTCGTTATGAAAGCAAGTGAACCCAATAAACCGTACGGTTGCAGTAAACGAGAGTCAGCTACGGACGAAACCTCTGTGTTTCATTATAAGTACAGGGAGTTTGTAGTGAGAGAACTTTTTTAATTTGGCGCATGGCGGAATGGCTTCTCTGACTCTCCAGAGCCTAGTGTAAGTGAGGGCTGTCCACACTGACCATATTACGATGTCGGTTGAAGCAGTTTCAGCGAAAATTTGTGTACCCCCCACTTCCAGGAATACGTTGGTATTACTCTCAACCCTTCGGAGCGTATGAGAATCACCTAATTGATCTGCGCATGTAATCTTTCGAGATTTTCATGTTTTTCGGTGTTGAAGTTCTTCACTCTCATCTTTTTTTCCTTGCGGAGAAATTTAAATTTGAAAAAGCACGATAACAGCGTTGGAAATTGGTAAAAACACACGAATATAAAGCGCGCTGTCGGATGTGCGCATGCGCGTATGAGATGAACGTGTCCGAGCTCTGAACCAGAGTGACGCGTATATGCGAGGTCATGACGTATAAATCGAGCTATATCTACAAAGAGGGAGAGACGTTACTTAAGTAGGATTTGAGATTCTCACGTCGGTGAGTTCGAAAATTGCTGTCTTCTGGGTTGTTGCGCCGTGTGGTCTGATAGATACTGACCAACGCTACAGAGGTCCTTGCAGCCTACATCATCAGGGCGATCTTTGAAACGTCGGCTAACTTCTACCAGACTACACCTTGCAACAACCCAGAAGACTTCCGTCTGCGTTGTATAATACCTTTGTACAATTTTGTTAAAGGTTGTGGCCGATAATATCAGGTTCTACTGTTCCTCTCTCTTCGTCAGTTTTGCGCTTGTAACCTGCCCTGGTTCACAGCCGATTTCCGATTAATGACGGGTAACTCAGGCGTACCTTTAATCGGTACACGAGCAGGGGAAGCACGTGGCTGGGTCCCACGTTAAGGTGGACGGAGACGAAACTACCAGCTTTACAATTATCGAGTCTTCCCTGTCAGCATGCACAGTAATACGTAGTGATGAATTCATATGTTGATTTAAAGATTGTGAAATAGTTATGTTATGATTGTTATTTTATTTAGTGTTCTGTCTGACGACAGGTCCATATGAACAGGATCCTTCCATCCTTTTCTCGGACTGGGACCTGTTCATATACGTTCTTGGCAGATGATCCAGAAGTGGTTTGCCACTGCCTTCTTCTGTGTGTGAATGGAGTAATTGTGGGGATGCCACGGAGGAAAACTCCGTGTTGCCGAGACCACGGCCTTGCCCAACACAAGTTATAAATCCGGGCACCGCCGGGAAACGAAGTGGGTACCCGGGGTTAAAGCGCCAGGAGCTATGCAACTCCTGGTGACAAGTTTTTTTTTTTTTAGTGTTCTGTCTGACGACAGGTCCATATGAACAGGATCCTTCCATCATTTTCTCGGTCTGGGACCTGTTCATATACGTTCTTGGCAGATGATCCAGAAGTGGTTTGCCCTTGCCTTCTTCTGTGTGTGAATGGAGTAATTGTTGGGATGCCACGGAGGAAAACTCCGTGTTGCCTAGACCACGGCCTTGCCCAACACAAGTTATAAATCCGGGCACCGCCGGGAATCGAACCCGAGACCCCAGTTATGATTGTACACATTGAAAAAAGAATGTTGATGACTTTTCGGACTACGATCGCGAATTTCACGTCCTTTCTGTTCGACGATGATTATCCTCACAGTATTCTGCAAGATTCGAAGCCGCGTCGCCTCAAGTGGACAGAAGTATACCGGTATGTAAGAGATGAGACGGAAGCACTTTTACCATCTGCGTGGTAGAGGACGTATAAACCCGCGACTCCAACTTCTTCAAAAAAGCAGAATCGGTAACACAAAATACGGGAAAAGTAATTTATCCTTGTAGAGGTCTTCTGGGTTTTGACGTTGTATTGACTCATAAGCAGTTGGCAATGTTTCGGTGAAACATTCTGTATCCAGCCCTGAAGATGGAGACGTTATGTTTCTCCGAAACGTTGGAATCTTCCAACAAGCTTGCACGGTTAGACAACCCAGAGGAACAGCGTCCTCGTGTCTGTTGCTTATTGCCTTCTAGTTATTAAAAATATATTAAAATTGGCCGTCAATCACAATATAAGATAATTAAAAGATTAAATATCATTTTACGTTCCTTATCGAGTACTCGATTTACATGTGGAACATTTACGACATGTTTCGGCTATATATAGCCGTCATCAAGTGTTATAT